AATATAACTCCAACTGGATTCGTCTGAAAGAAGAAAGTCATATAACACCTAGGATGCTTTGAGGGCGAGTAATTAAATTCAATTTTCATTTTTGGGTGAACTAACCCTTTAAGCTGCATGATTTGAGGTAACCTTTACATCCTTAGTACAAACAGTGTCAAAGTTGAACACTTTGAGTTAGGGTTTTTTTCTTTAAAAAACACCTTACCCTGAGTATGAGCAGTTGTAAAGGTTATGCAAATTAATACATGTATATAACCTACCTGGACAAGACCACAACCATGGCGTACAGATCAATGGCACAGTCTGCAACTCGCTTCAGAACAAATTGTTCATCTAAAAAGCCACATGTACAGAATCACTCAATCACAATGAGAAAAGTTCAAGCCACATGCTCATATGGACACCTGACAAAAGCATTTGTCACAATATTTAGCTGTAATATGGAAAATATGTCAAGTGAAAGCAAAAAAAGTTGAAACCAGGAAGAATTAGCATGCAAAACACATACACACAAAAATCAGCAGCAAATTGCCAACGCAGACTAAAGCAAATAATATAATCTAGCAAGATCTAGCAGCACTATGCAAACACATCACTCACCAATGATTCTCTTTCCATGTTTCAGGAGAAGCTCTTCAATAACAGCTCCAAACTGCTCGATGGCTTTAACAGTCTTTAAGAGGGAAAAAATAATAATTTAGCCCTGCGATCTACGTCTTATTTAGGCTTTGGTGTTCTTGCTGGTATCCTGGCTATTTCTTATGAGTAAATATCATTCCAGCATTGGATGAACATCATCTCAGTGTTGTCCAAGCACTATGGCTTTGCTTTAATTTACCAATTCTCCACTGTGGTTAAGCTCTGGATGGACCGTTCCCTGCAACGTCAGTCCTGTCCCCAAGCCTGCCTTCCTGTCAGAGACAGAGAGATAAAGACAGACATATTGCAGGTTTATCAAGTTGATGCAAAGTACATGATGACAATGCAAAACAAAATGTCTTGCGAGTGTTTTTAGAGATACGAAGGTCTAACCTCTTGGCTCGCTTTGTGATTTCACTCGCCAACATCCCAGCATTACCAAAAGGGTTCTTTAGAGCTTTCTGCAAGCTCTTTAGC